TGATTGAACCTACACGCCAAAGAAGAAGCACCAAGAACCGCCATAGCAGATCGCACCTCGCGGAGACCCCAGGCGGCCAAACTCCAGCACGAGGCTAGATCCATCAATGGCCAATCGGACGCTGTGCGAGCCTCCATGCACTATCGAGCACCATGTTGGCATGGAACAAAGGAGTGTTGCCCGATGCCAGGAACCACCATGGTTCCGGGCCGCAACCATACATCAGGCACGTCGACGTGCACCACACATGTCGGCGTGTGCCCTCCAGGGACCAGATCTATCATGCCCACAATACGTAGCCGTGCCACAACATGGGCAAGATGGCCCGCGCCACCCGAGCGCCTCGTGGAGGATGAGGAGAAGAGCCCCACCGCCGCCGACACATGCACGGGATTTTCCCGGCATCACCCACCGGTGATAGAGAAGGAGTTGAGAGGCGAGGTGGGGGCTGATGGCAGCACCGCCTAGGGTTGCACCTGAGACGCTCACGGGAGTGGCACGGGTTTCGCGTTCACAACTAGCTAGTGGCAGGCAGCATTGAATGCAATAACCTACTTGTAACGCCCCGAGACCGATGTGCCAGGTGTCTTCCAGTTATTCGCTGTTTTTGCCTTGTCATTTGCTTGCGTGTCATGCATATCATATCATGTCATCATGTGTATCGCATTTGCATACATGTTCGTCTCATGCATCCGAGCATTTCCCCGTTGTCCGTTTTGCATTCCGGCGCTCCTATGTCCTCCGGCGCTTCCTTTTACCTCTTTTCGTGTGCAGGTGTTAAACGTTCCTGGATTGGACCGAGACTTGTCATGCGGCCTTGGTTTACTACCGGTAGACCGCCTGTCAAGTTTCGTACCATTTGGACTTCGTTTGATACTCCAACGGTTAACCGAGGGATCATAAAGGCCTCGTGTGTGTTGCAGCCCAACACCCTTCCAAAGTGTCCCAAAACCCACCTAAGACCCCTCCATCATCTAGGCCGTTCGATCATGATCGCGTGGCCACAAACCGCACCTCATTTGGACTTTCCTAACTCCCTCTACCTCTATAAATAGGTCCCTCCCCGAAATTTCGGGTCATTTCCAACCCTAGCCTGGTCTCTTCCCACCTCTCGCCGCCGGACACGTCCGATTCGGGCCGGACGTGTCCGACTTGCCCCGCCGCCGCCACGTGTCGCCGCCCCGTTGGCTCGGCCGCCTCCCCCGCCGCTGGCCCGCCGAAGCCCAGGGCGGGCCCTCTCCGCCGCCTCCTGGGCCGCGCGCCCCGCCGCCACCTACCGCGCGCCGCGCCGCCTTCCCCGACGCTGGCGCCGCCCGCC